CACAGGTGGCTCGGTACTACAACAAGAAGATGCGCCCACACAACATTGTGGTTGGGAGTTTGGTGTTGAAGCGTGACTTCCGACCAAAAGCTACTGATGGAAAGTTGGCACCAAAGTGGAAGGGACCGTATCGTGTGCAAGAGGTAGTGGGGCCTGGCACATTTAAGTTGGAGCATTTGTCGGGAAAGAAGGTGAAGAGAACGTGGAATGCCCAGAATTTGTGAAGGTATGGGGTGGTGGAGACCAATGTGACGAGAGAAGATGGTAGGGTGCCAGAGGGGGCGCCCAGCTTGTGGTAAACGTGAGAACAAGTATCAAGCCGCGGGGTGTGATTTTTGTTAGTAGGAATATGGGAGAACGCCTAACTGCGCCCGTAGTATTAGCGCCCGGGATACTTAAAGCGCCCGGTAATCGCGCCCTGAGGTTGTTTTTTGAAATCGGCATACATATACATAGCTACTTCAATAGTTCGCTCATAGTAGTATTGTAAAGCGCCCTTATGCGCCCTCAACATTTGTGTAAAGCGCCCCTCCGCGCCCGGGATACTTAAAGCGCCCGATTTTAGCGCCCAGAGGATGTTTTGTAAGTCGGAATATATATACATACTTGTTTCGTTAACTTGCTTTTGGGAGTGTTTTATAGTGCCCTCATGCGCCCATAGCACCGAATCATTGTGCCCTCTCATGCGCCCATAGCACCAAGTCATTGTGCCCTCTCATGCGCCTATAGCACCAAATCATTGTGCCCTCTCAAGCGCCCACAGCATTTATGTAATATGCTCCATATGATGAGATCAAATACTAAGTAAAATATTGAGATAAGACGCCCGTAAGATTAAGGCGCAAAGGTTACGAAAGACAAAATAGAAACTTGCTTGTTCATAATGCAACCCAAATAAAGATAGTCAAATAAAACACAAGGCGCCTCGGTGGGCGCAACAAAAGGGTTAAACGCATGAAAATTCAAACATGGAGTGGAGGATCAGTCTTCTTCGTCCCCATCCTCGTCATCACTAGACTCCGAGCTCGATCCAGAAGCAGCTTCATCCGCTTGATCTTCGGGAGGCGCAGGAGCGGCATCAATAATGGGGCGCCCACTGGCCATAAAATCGATGACGAAGTTGGCCATCTCCTTGACATCCCAATTGATATTGGGATGATCAGCATCCAGCTTCCTCTTCAGGATGAGGATGCTGTTCAAGGATGCCTGCGCCTTCACCGCTAAGTCTGACACAGGCGCTTGGGGGGCAGGCTTCTCGCTCTTAAGCGCCTCTAGTTCTTCCTGGCGCCTCTTCCCTTCTCGGATCAATTGCTTATTCTCCTTTTGCAAGGCCTTCTTCTCATCAAGGAGGAGGTCGATTTCACTCCTCTGGGCGCCGGCTTCCTTGTCAAGATCAGCCTTCTCCTTCACCAGCCTAGCCACCTCTTCGTGATGCGCCCTCTTGAGAATTGCAAGTTGGGCCTCATGCGCCACCTTCAGCTTCTCCTTTTATTCGTCCACCCTTTTCTGTAAGAGGGACGCAGCCTTGGCGGCCTCGAGATTGGCGTTCTCACATTCCTTCGCCAACTCTGTTTGGCGCCTCCGCGCTGTCTCCAAATCATCCCTCGCAACGCCAAGCGCGTTGTTGGCTTCCACCTCGCCTAGGCGCAGCGCCTCTTGCGCCATGGCGCCATTCTTGGCCAAGTGGAGCATCTACACCGAAGTCAACATAACAAGTTATAAATCATTAATATGGGCGCATAGCATGGCATCATGATAAAAGTTTGAGAATATGAGTAAGTTAATTTGGAAAGCGCTTGGTATACCTCGGCCGATATGCGCGCCACTTCTCCCCAGAGATTCTTCCCCCCAACACTCGAGGGCGCTCGCAGTACTTCGGCGGCGTGGAAAGCGAAACCGAGCGCAGAGCCTCGCTCACATGCAGACCTATCCGAGCATTCCACCACGACCCTGTGTTTCGGTGGTTGCAACCATTTTTTCACAAAGGGGTGGACAGGCGCCTCCTCTTCCGTGCGCTGCTTTTTGCCATGAGTCGATGCGCCATCATCAGACTTCCTTTTGAGCCTGTTCGACAGGGGGACTTCATCAATGTCCAGCTCAGGATCGGACTGAACAATAAGAGGCGCCCCCTCCTCAGGTTGCGCAATGACAGGCGCATTCTCTTCCGGAGCCTTCGCCACTTTCTGTGGCTTAATTCTTCGCGAACTCGAGCGCCCCTTCCTGCCGCTGGCCGGAGCACTAGGCGCATTGGTTTTGCTTCCGGTCCGTGCTTGTGTTGGGGTGGTTCTCTTCTTTCCTTTCTTCGCGGCGCCCTTCTTCTTGGAGGCGCCCTGGCCTGGGAACACAGGCGCTTGATAGTCTAAACCCATATTCTCCAGCTGGGTTTTCATCAAGGAGGCCACGGAGGTGAAGTCCACGCCTGAAAAGACAATACACAACATAGTTAAAATAAAGTTAGCCATATACGTATAACACAGGCGCATTAGCCAGCAGCGAGGCAAGTGCAACACTATGCGCCTACCCACCATTAGCATAGTACTCGTGAAGAACAGGGACACGCGCGGCTGTCGAACTCAAGTTAACTGGATAAAGGGACAACAGGCGCGCATGCTCTTCCTCCTCCCTGGTTAACGCCTCGTCAACATTAAAGCGCGAGGTGTTGCCAACCCTCCAACGCCGGGTAAACCGACCACCACTCTCATAAAAAGAGTCCGCGTGCGGCTTGATAAAGAAATAAGACCTATACCATGCGCGCCCCAACTTAGGGCAATCCTCCACAAAATGTCCCGGAATGTCCAGGCGCCTCTGTAGAGATAGACAATTCTTACTGCTGGTCATCGTGAAAAAGTGCTTGAAGAGCTTGAACGTGGGAGTGATGTCGTTCTGACGGCATTTCAACTTGAACAAAACATGTATCAGGAAGATAGACGGTGACAGGCGCCCAATAGGACAGGCGCATGTATCCAGAATTCCCTGTAAAATCGAGTCCAAGGGAAAGCGCAACCCGAACTTAAAGTACTCTCGGTAGATCCCAATCCAGCGAGGACCCACAACGCCTACCCTGGTAACCCGCGGGGCAGGCGCATAAGACCGGCTCCGGGGTAAGCTGCACGAGGTTATCAGGCGATGCAACTCTGCTATTTTGACGGTGGCCACGTGGTTTGGCCCAGCTCGAGTCACGGGCAGGTTGCTTATACTCTCAGGCGCCCCCCCTGTGGCCAAGTATCGACCCAATCAACTATCTTGAACGACCCATCTTCAGGGGCGCCTGAGTTGGTGGAGGCTGGAGAATTTTGCACCTCACCCGACTCTGACGAAGCGGGCGCGGAGTCCGAGGTAGGCGCGGAGCCTAAAAGTTATCCAATCGCCCTCGGTCAATGACACGGACCTAAGATTGCTAACGGGCGCCTAACAAAGGAGCAATGCAAAATTGAAGAATTGGAAGTCAGGGGGGCATAGGAAAAATACCTTGGTTAGTTGTGGAACCCGTGGGCGCAGACTCCGAAGGCGCCTCTGAATCTTCAGGCGCGTTTGAGACTTGTTTCGCCGACGTAATTGCCGTTAGGGGCGCTTCGACATTAGCAGTCGCAGGGGAAGAAGAGTTACCCTTCGCTTGCTTGGGCGCCTCCTTGGTCGACCGAGGCGCTCTCTGGTCCTTGTTTCGCATCGGGTCAGGCGACAGATGCTGCTCTAAAACGTCAAGAACGCTAGGCGCCTCCTTATCGACGGAGTCAGGCGCCGCGCCGGAATTTGACTTCGACATGGCTCGACGAGAGCAGGACGGGCGCACAAACGTGAGAAAAGAGGGCGCGTGGGTGTGAAAGAGAGGGAGCAGCTAGAGAGAGGAAGTAGAGAGAGAATTAGATTTGGGGCGAATGAGATAGAATGGAGAGGAGGGTGAATATTTATAAGAGGAAGGGAGGAGGTGAAGAGTCACCTCGGAAACCGCGCGCTGAACGATCCAATCCTCGCCCTCCGTTCAAAATTTGAATTTTGAAATTCAAAATTTGAACGCACACCGAGTGGGGGGCAGGAGGTACGGTCATGCGCACGGTCATGCGCTTGGTAAGTGCAGGGCCGTGCGCCTCCTTGTTTGTTCAAAACCAGGTGGAATGATGAGGATCGCGGTTATGCGCCTCCTGTTTTCTTTCTTTCATACGCCCGAACCTAGGTGCGAGCGGGCGCCTTAATGATTGAACATGTGTAAGTCTAGAAGGCGTATGGGCTTGTGATAGGTAAGATCAGACACCCTCATGGTTAGAATGATGAGGATCGGCTGAAAAGGCAGGGGGGCAACGTGAATGGGGGCGCATGGGCCTATGCAAAGCAAATTCGGGCGCCTCATGGTGACGCAAAGCCTAATGAAAGCCAGGCACATAGTTAGGCGCTCACCAGTGAACACCTAACTGGGGGGCAATTGTTGGGGTAGTAGAGAGGAGCCCATGAAAGTTAAGAGCCCAGTGGACCTTGTTGGGATAGTGGAAAGGAGCTCATGAAAGTTAGGAGCCTGTTGGGCCTGAAGCCCATTTATGGCCCATAAGAGTATGACCTAGGTGACTATGAAGGAGCAGGGGCGCATGACGACAAAATAGGCTCGCAGACAAGGGAGTACAGGTGGACAAGGTCAGAAGGGCGCCACGAGGCCAGTGGTCCCCCTATGCGCCCCGACGTGGAAAATGGACGGTATGCCACGTGTAGGCGCGTAGGCGCCAGGGGAGACCGAGCATTTAATGCTAGGCTGACGTAAGTCTTGGTGGCAGGAGTTGGTCGGAGCTTGGTCGAGGAGCTCGAGTAGTATAAATAGCACTTGGTAGGTAGCATTTAAGCAGGTTGGTCTTTCTCACACTAAACTTCTTTCTTCACTTCTCTCTAGAATAGCTTCTGACTTGATCGTCGGAGTGCTAACGGACGGGTCTAGCCCCCCCGGCGCCCGTCCTGCAGGGTCCAAGCGCCAGGCGCGGAGCAAGTGGAAGAATCTCGAGGGTGGGAGAGTATCACGGCTTCAACACTTTCCGATCCACTGCCCGGACTCGAGCTAGTGCACATAGTAAGGTTTCATTCTTATCATGCCACCAGTAAAGATAAGATGCCCGAAATACGCCCCTTCCGTCTCACAGGCACATTCAGCTTCATCGTTGAGACAGAAAGAACAGAATGGCGCCAAGCAATATATTCGAGACCACAAACACCACCACACCAACCAATAGAAAGCAAACAACATCACCTTCAACTTCTACCAAGAGCCCTATCATTATACATAACTCTGTCGTTAGCCAACATATAAAAAAGGCCATGTATTGTGCTTTCATTGTCAACTTTTGAGAAGAGCCCTATCACGATGATACAATACAACCTGGCGGGTTAAATATTACATCACGTAAGGCACAATACAAGCCTGGTATGGGTTTCTCACTTCCCCTTGCTGCTGGAATCCTCCGGCAGATGAACACCCATGAGTCCCAGCAAATTGGAAGCTGGACCTGGTTGTCCCTGTTGAGACGAAAACGAGTCCAGTAGATTCTTCACCAGGTTGAAGTCCACATCTACAGGGCTAAAATCTTCTTCCATCTCCACCGGAACATTTGACGTCCCCTGCTCATATCGAATCAAGTAAATTGTCTGTGTTAAAACGCTAAAACTTAAAGCTTCAAGCAGCGTATAGATAAAGATCGGCAACTCACCTCATTTGGTTTGGAGGTTTGTCCATCCGCCTGAACAAAGCTTTTGCCAACAGTGCTGTTCTTCAGCTCCTGATTCAGGGCAGCAGAGTAGGACTGCGAGAACCTGTCTTCACCATCCTCATTGTCCCCATCAGGTGCCATGATGTCATCTTCGCTATCCAACTCGTCTGCCAACAAGAGGATATGAAATGAGAAAAACAGAAACAAACAAACTAGAAACAAAACCAGCTGTTAATTCAGCCAGGAGGCACACAACATGTCTAGAATTAGAGAGTTGAAGCAACTTAATCCTATCCCATTCATTTGTTCCCCAATTGTATGGTACAAAGAGGTGAGCTGAACTAGGAAAGTATCTATCTCAATGTTCAGGATATTCTCTAGTTCAGTATTCTTTCACGGGAGCAATGTGATAAGGCCCCCAAAAATCTGAGGAACTCAGTTACCGGCTGCAACTATTCCTATGTATAAGAATTAAGAACTGCATTTTTTCCCAAGTTCAAGTAGCTAGAAAATAGAAGTTAAGCCAAAAGAGCAACTTACCAAACTCCATATCAGATGAAGATGCCTCTTCTTCACTTTCAGCATCACCATCCTTGGACTCTGGGACATAACGCTTCATTACTGATTCCATGTCTTTTAGAAACCGGTCAACATCGAGATCCACTTCTCCATCTCCCGACTTCCTACACAGCATCAATGACGATAAGTCAGGTATTTGAGACCCACACTAATCCCATGGGCACATATGGGCGATTATGGATCTATAAATGTTCAGAAGCAGTAACCTCACATCGGAAGAAAAAATTCCTGAACCAACACTTGGTTCCCTACATAAAACAAACCTGTTTTCAGGAACTTCAGCTCCCTCAAAACTGGACACCTTCTCTACAAATGCCTGCATGCTTCGAGCCATGTCCTGAAGATTAAAGTCATCAACATTTGTGCTGGACGAAGGACCACTGCCCTCTGGCTCTTTCGACTTCTTTCTAAGTTGAACATTATACTGATCAATCTCCTTTTGCCTCACTTGAAGAGCATCGTTCAGCTCACTTTCACCACCATAGAGCCAGGAATCATCATCTGAAGCAGGAACTTCATGTTGCTTAAAGCTGTCTGCTGAATCAGGCATCGCAAGGATGTCATCAATCCGCCTCACCGGATCACTCATTGTCTCACTACAAAAAAGCATAAAATACCCCCATGAATTATATCACCCACTGCATAACAAAGAGCGAACTTAAAAACAACCTTCACCCTTAAGAAACCATGTACTTGTACCAACAAGAAAAAAAAGAATCACCTAGTTCTCACGGCCGAAGAGCTCTTCCTGTAATACTCCTCTGCAAACTCCCTTAACCGCTTGTACTCCATAGAACCAGGCAACAGACCTTCGAAGTAGCCACTTTTCTCCAAGATATCCTTATACTTCTCAAAATTACTCCCCCTCGCATCCACTCCTTCCTTCCTCCTCAGCTGATATATCATCTCCAACCCACAAGCAATCTTCATCCCCAGCTCTGCCTCCAGATACGCCGTCAAGTCTTCACTTCGATTTGGCATTGGATAGCACTTAGGTGGCTGAAACTTCTGCTGCATCAACTGCGCGTACATGGCTCTAGACATCTTAACCGCCACGCAAACGAGCTCCTCCTGCCTCCCTCTGCTCAAAAACTTCTCCATTTTCGCTGCATACTTCATGGTATCGATATCCCTGTCGTAGAATCCTTCCACCGCCAGAGAAATCAAGCACGGCTCGTGCGTCAGCACCTGCGCCACCGAGACAGGAACCCGAACCCTAACACAGTGCGTGTTTCGCCTCGCTCTCCCCGGATAGTCCGAAATCCGATCCTTCACCGCCTTCTGAATTGGCTCCGCCGCCCGTGAATCGATTTCGAAATTCACGAGGAACTTTAACGATTCAGGTAAGCTAGGGTTGGGGAGGCGCTTCTTGGGGACGATTCGGAGATCGCCGCGGCGGATAAACACGCGATTCTCGCTGTTCTCCGGGTCTATCCAACGAGGGAGGTGGAAAGCGGCCTCGATGAGGAGAAACTCGCCATCGTTGTCCCAAACGCGAATGGAGAGCGAAGGGAAATTGCGAGAAATTTCGAAGAGGAGGAAGACGGTGAACCACTCGTCCTCGATGTTGTCCCCGAACCGGAGCTTTCCATGGAGGTGAGGAACAGAAGACTTACCGGAGCATGGGCAGGACGGCGACGGCGGAGCAGAGATGGTGAGAGAGAGCGGCTCGTGCTGCCAGATGTAGGAAGAAGTATGCGGGGACAGGAACTGGAGGATTCGGAGGTGGAGAGACTGAAGATAGTGGGCTGGAGACGGCGGAGGGGAATCTGAGACGAAGCAGTCGGGGAATATTGCGAAGAAAACGGTGTCGTCGGGAGGGCGAGAGCGGGAGGAGGAGAAGACGGAAGCGGTAGGGACGCTGTCTCTCGGCGGCGGCGTCATGGCGGCCATTCCCGGTGGATTCTAGGTCTCTGATGGGGAAGAAGATACGTCGTTGTTCAGGGCTCGCCTTCTTGCTTCTTAGACCTCCGCGAACGTTCCCGACCAGTGAGCGGCATCTGAAACGGAGTCGTTTATGAAATTCTCCTTAGATACCTGGACGGCGCGCAAAAGCGGCAAAAATGGATTTTATTTCCACATTCCACTAGGCTTTTTTGGGCTGAGCTAAGGAATTGGGCCGAGTACCTGAAAGGCTTAACGTTTAATGAAATACGGAATTTATCAAACTAGCTTTTTATTTTATTTTATGAATCGGTTAGCTTTCATTTCATCAAAAAGTAGCACTAGCAACATCCTTGCTAGTTAGGAACATTTATATACCAGTTTTGCCTATAAAACGCTATACAAAAGAGTCAAAAATTTGTCTACCAAAATTCACCTCCACTTCCTCTCTAACAACCTTGAACAAAACTCCTCCATCCCTGCAAACTCCTGTAAATATCCTACTGCACCTCTCTCGCCAAATAATACTCACAATACTCTGCCACATAGCCTTCCCAGCTTGAGAGACAACAGTTTTGTAACCAAATTTCTGCATTAACCAGCCAATCTCACTGTCCAGAGAAGAGGAAACTCCAGAACTGCTACCATACAACTGACACTTCAGACTCCTGTATAACACGCATTCAGCAAACAAGTGGTCAGAAGTTTCAAGCTGGCAATTACAGAACACACACCCCAAACTACCTGAATAGCCCCATTTGATCATCTTCTCTTTTGTTGTTATTGCTTTACTCAGAATAAGCCATGTAATAAATCTGTTACGAGGGATAGAACAACCCTGCCATAACAGTTTGAACCAGTCCACTTTCTGCCTTCTAGGTCTCAAAGTATCCCAAACTCTCTTTATAGAAAATTTGTCCATTCTTTCCTGGTCCCAAAAGACCTCTTGCCCTTGCTGATGAAAGTACCCTCTAACCTTATGCCTCACTTTCAAGTTTCTTTTCCAGTTCCATGATCCAGAACCTCCACCATATTCCCAAAAGTCCTGACCTTTCAGTTTGTATAATTTGATTCATGCCACCCATAGAGAGCCGTGCTGCATTAATAGAAGCCATATATGTCTCGTGACACATGCTACATTCCAAGTAGCAAGGTCTCTTAGCCCCAGCCCCCCCTCTTTCTTAGGGTAAGTAAGGTTCTTCCAACCTATTTTAGCTTTCACCCTACCACTCTGACCAACCCCCCAAAGGAAATTACTGCAAATACTCTCCACTTCCTTAATCACTGCTTTTGGGAGGAGGAAGACTGCCATCCAGTACTGATGAAGGCTGTACAGAACTGAACTTACCAATTCTATTCTTCCAGCATATGAAAGGAACCGAGACTTCCAGCTACTAATACGTGCAACTATCTTATCAATGAGTGGTTTACAAGCTGACACAGTAAGTTTCCCTGAGGATAAGGGGACCCCCAGATACCTCACAGGGAATTTCCCCAATGCATATCCATATCTATCAGCCCTTAGCTTCTGTTCAGAACCAGAAATCCCCCCCCCCCCCCAAAAAAAAAAACAGTTCACATTTACTTGGATTCACCTTCAATCCAAATAGCTTCCTAAATCTAGCTAGAATCTCAGTCAACCTTTGAAAACCATAATTTGATCCATCCGAGAAAACAAGCAAATCATCAGCAAAACAAAGGTGTGTCAGACCAATCTTCTTACACATAGGATGGAAGGGGAAGTGACCCTTCTGTGCTTCCTTATCAATCAAACATGTAAACATTTCCATGGCAATAACAAAGAGGTAAGGAGACAATGAACACCCTTGTCTCCTTATCAATCAAACATGTAAACATTTCCATGGCAATAACAAAGAGGGTAAGGAGACAATGGACACCCTTGCCTCAACCCCTTGCTTCCTTATCAATCAAACTAGCTTTATTCCCGGTCTTTGGCCGGGTAAATTTTTTTATTAATTAGTTTATATAATATTTAAATCAATTTAAATTTATTAATATCTTTACTTTTTTGTTATTATATTAAACTTGTATTTTTATCAAAAAAATTTAGTATCAGATTCATTGAATTTAACTAATTTTTTTATCTAATGTTTGTTTTATTGATAGAGTGAAAATATTACGTATATATGATAATACGATAGTACTAATCATGTTGTGATCAATGGCCTAATACCATCATATAAATTTTGGCTAATTGTCTCAATAGTTTAATACTTTAACAAACTATACAGTAAGATTTGGAGTTTGTGGGTTCAAAACCCTACTAATGCATTTATATGTTTGATTATTTTTTATTTGTAGAGAAACATAAATAAAAAAAATGACATGATAAGAAAGCTGACGTGAATGTATTAGAATTGAACAAATTTGAAATTAGGAAGTGTAATTTGAGAAAATAAGTACGATTCGTAAATACCCACAAACATTAATAAACAAAATAATCGAGCATTCACCGTAAATGTCGATTGAAAACTGTCTTTTCCTCTTCACTATACTACCACAAACTTTGGTTGGATACGCTATAATACAAAGGGAAATCTTTTATTTGTTACTTTTTGTGCCTTCCTATTATTTTTTGGTCCAATTGCTAAATCAGCACAATTTCTAAAGATGCTAATTTAACTGTTTTTGAGATTTGCATAAAATCTAAATACTAATATATCTATCCAACTCCTAGCCTCCCACCACACCCTCTCTCACGTTTTCCAGTTTTTTTATTGGGTACTAAAAGGAAAGAGGAGAAAATGGAGGATGCAGTTACTTTTTTAACCACACGTTGCAACTCTTCAGGGATTTTTTTTTTTGACAAAAGGCAGTGCTATTCCATTAATTTTTGGCTGAAGTCAGAGAGGTTACAGGAGGTGAGAAATGACATCAAGTATCTGAATCCATTGGCTGGGTAGAATATTTTTTGCTCGGGACCTCTCCACCCAATTGGCTTTAACATTCTCAGCCCTTTTGATATGTAAGACGCCGATGCACGCCATGGCCAGAGACTCTGGTTTCCCTGAATTGCCTTGATGAGGTTGAGGCAATCGATTCGAACCAAACACGGGCTGTTGAGCCTAGTAGCCAATAACGTACCTTCCATTAGCGCTTTTGCTTCAGCTTCAATCGGTGAAAAACAGTGCAGAGGCTCAGCTACCCCGTCACACACTTGTCCATGGTCATTCGTGACAACGATGCCATACGCCGCCTCTTGAGATTCTTCGAAGAAAGAACCATCACAGTGTATTTCAAATTCATGAATACATGGCGGTGGAATAGGATGTTCTGGGGGTGGAATTAGCTGAGTGGGGGGGGGGGGAAGATGATGATGGGTTTTTGGGGCAAGCTTCCCATTGCTGTGCTTCCAGAGTGGCCCTAGAATTGGTTGCTGGTGGCCATGGTGCCTTACCCCTGAAGATAAACTCGTTCCTCGTCTTCCATGTCTGCCATAACAGGAAAATGACCTTCTGGATAAGAATTATGGAATACCTGGTCTGAAGAGAGAAGAGCCATTCTAAAATGGGTGTGGAGAGTGGGGGGACGACCAAGCCAGGCCATTCCTGGTACCATCCAGCAGCCGCATGAGGGCAGGAGAAGAGAGTATGGTGGATAGATTCCGTTGGGTCTGCACAAATAGGGCAAGCTTTTGATGGGGAGCACTTTCGGGAGAACAGGTTCTCCTTCGTTGCCAGGGCCCTTCTGGTACACTTCCAGATGAAGAACTTCATCTTGGGAGGCAGGGAAAGACTCCACAGCCATTTCCACCTAGCCTTGCTATTTGCATCAATTGCGTGGTAGTCCTGTTCCCTTCGCTGGATATTGTGGAACACTTGGTAGGCAGATTTTACAGTAAAAACTCCACTATCCGTGAATCTCCAAGCCCAAATGTCTTCAAGAGATTCGGGGCCGATAGGGGTAGCAGCCACCTATTTAAGGTCCATAGGGCTGAGATACCCTGCCAAAAGGTCAAACCTCCAGGCTCGATTTATACCATCAATCCACTTGTCAACCATGGATTCATCAGGCCAGTCGAAATCAAGCAGTCGACCTGGTCTATCAAACCTCCATGGATCATGGAACATTCTTGTCGCCTTACCATTGCAAATCACCCTAATGATGCCCTGTTTCATCCATTTCTTCGCTTCACAGAGACTAGACCAGATCCAGGAGGCTTTTCCCCCTTTCTTGGCGGACAAGAAATCCTCTTTGGGAAAATAAATGCTTTTCAGAACCTTCACCCACAGGGCCTCCGGGTTGGTAAGGATTCTCCATGCCTGCTTAGCCAGCAGGGCCAGGTTGATCGTACTGAACGGTCTGAAATTGAGACCACCCTCCTCCTTTGGGGCATACAGAACGTGGGCGGCTCTCCAGTGTATAGTTCTTTTCGACATCTTTCCGCTCCAGAAGAAATTCCGAAGCATGGAATCCATTCTCTTGGTCATCGATCTAGGGAGAAAGAAGAGGCACATGATAAAGGATGGCACTGCCTGGAAAACTGCCTTAAGGAGGACCTCCTTGCCTCCCGGGGAGAGGAGTAGACTCTTCCACGATTCCCCTTTTGCTTCCATTCGTTTAAGGAGTAAGTGGAATGTCTCCTTCTTTGACCGGCCCCATTCAGTAGGGACTCCCAGATATTTGGAGTGACATTGGTCCACCGCGAAGCCAGTGCTCTGGATTATGAGATTCTGTTCGGGTAGCGGAACATTAGCACTGAAGAATAACGATGATTTTTCCCGGTTGACCTCCTGGCCCGTCAGCGAGCCATAATCATTAAGAATGTTCAAGATGTGTTCCGCTTCCCTCTGTGACGCTTGCCCAAAGATTACAGTATCGTCTGCAAAGAGACAATGGGTGAGGACCGGGCACTCCCTGTTGAGTTTGATACCTTTGATGATCTGTCCTTGAGTAGCCTTGTCAATCAGGAACGAAAGAGCATTAGACATCAGAATAAAAAGAAGGGGGGACAAAGGATCCCCCTGGCGGATGCCTCGTGATGGTGCGAAATCGGTTGATGGAGTTCCATTAAGCAAAAGCTTAAACTTAACTGTTGAGATGCAGGCTCAGACCCATCCACACCAGGTATCACTGAAACCATAGGCTCTGAGGAGGAAGATGAGAGAATCCCATTCAACCAGGTCGTAGGCCTTCCTCATGTCAATTTTCATCATCATGTCTTTACAATTCTTAGTCTTGTTCT